TGTTACCTACAAGTTACATCCTCATTTCTTGTCCCTGTCCAAATATCCTGATGTAGTAAAGTTTAATACAGGATAAGAAATCCAGTCTTCCATGTCAAAGTGGGTTGAATGAACAGTTGATCTGTGTATGCGTTATATCTTAGCAAGGTTCTTTTGTTGAAGAGTCAGTTCACTGCTTCTCAGTGACTCAGTTTGCTCGCTTACACACTGAATCTGAAGACCTTTCCCCATTTCTGTAAAGTAGCTGTTTATTATGGATCCCTCAGTACTACCTGCTTTTCTTGTGGTCTTCTGTACAGGTCTTTGCCACCTGATATATCTGTAGGGGTATTTCCATTCTGAAATCAGCCTGTAATGACATCTCAGAAAACAGCAGCTTTCACTTGACTTTACTGTAACTTTTTTTTTTTTTTTTTACTCTTCCACCTTTTACAGCAGTGTCATCATTTTTTTTCAGTACTAGCTTTAAGAGGAAACATTCTTTTTTTTTTAAGCTTTTAAGCCAAAATTACTTTTTTATTTAAATCTTTATATACTACTTGTGAATTGCTTTCCTTAGTGTGACTGCCTCAGGAGATAGATTACTGTGCACTTCTGTAGCCCATGATAAGATCTTGGCAATTGCTGCTTCCCGTAGGAACAGGACTGTTAAAATGACAGTATATCATTATTTCTTAGTCTAAGCTACTCCAGAGTTTATGGTGTAATAAAATAGTGTGATCAAATTGAGGCCTGCTGCAGAGTTCCCCGGGAGCCTTTCTGTTGAATCTGAAAGCCTTTAGACTGGACATTTAGTTTCTCTTCTGGAAATACTGACATGCAAATCTGTGCAACATTGCGGTGTGCTTGAGTGACTGACGTCATGAACACCTCTTCATGTGATCTTACCTAAGACGTACTTGAAGATTTTGGGGGTATATCTTGTCTTTCTTAATCTCCAGTTGGTGCCTCAACAAGATGGGAAAAGTATAGTCAAATGTGCTGTTGTGCTAAGAGTTTATGTATGGCAACTATAGTCTAGTGCAGAGTACCAGTGGCTAGGACAAGTAGAGTTTGCAGAAAATACTGAGCAAAGGGGGAATTGACAGACTTAGGACTCCAGAGTAGTTACAGGTTAGGACACCGAATTGAGGGCAATTTTTTGAAGGCTGGGAACGATGGAAAGGAAGGGCTGTGAGCTGCAGCATGAATCACTGATGTTCGGTTTCTGGCAGGGGGGAGGGAGGAAGGGTCAGGCATTCTGGTACAGAAGGCTTTGGGACAAGGGGCTGAGCGCCACCATGAGCACCTCTTCCTGATGAGCATCTGTAGGACTCTGGAAAGTAAGGCTGTGTTCATGGGACTGATCCCTTTTGTCTGAACAATACAGCCATCTGCCCTTGCATTGTGTCCTTTCCTTGTGGCAGGAAATGCAATGCTGTCAGGCCAGGTGGAACCCATTCACACAACTGAGAGCAACTTTTGCCTGTAAAGCACTTAAAGAACTTCTTACTCCAGTCACTACTGCAAATTAACAGCGAGAACTTTCCATTTGAAGAACAGCGCTTCAGCAGACTTCCTCTTTCCACCCCTGAAGTTTTTGGGGGTATTTGCACAGAGTACAGGACTTAAAACCAGGAGATGAGTGGCATGGAATGACTCATGCTCAAAACCAGAAGCATTTGACTTTGGAAAACTGACTTCAGTTCTAGCCCTTCCTCTTTAAAGTTTTATGTTGCACGACCTTTTAAATGAAATGTCGAGCTTCCTTTTTAAATGACAGGATCTCTGCAGTGTGACTATGAGTGTGATTCCAGAAGGTGTTACGTAACTATCAATCCCTATGTCCATCCACTAACTTCAGTTCTCGTGACATCACTGGCTTCAAGTTCCTCATAGCATAATAATTACAAGCTTTGAATGAGTCTGCTTTCTCCAACACTGAGATCCTGTAGTACTATTATTGGCGTATTCTGAAACTGCCCTAACACCAGTGAGCATCAGTAGTTATGTGACTCCTGCAATAAACAATAACAGACGTTTTTTGAAGAATGTACAAGAAAACGTGTAACATGGCCATTTGATGTAACTTGTCACTAGATTGTTTCCCAATAATTTTCTCTGTTGAAGGCCATCTGATTTCTGCTAGTCAGCTTCGTATCCTGGAAGTGATCTTAGATGTTTGGGGTTTTGTTTGGGGTTGGTTTTTTTGGGGTTTGGTTTTTTTTTTTTTTTGGTGATTTTAGATGTTCTAGCAACTGCTATAGCAAAAAAAAAAAAAAACCAAAAAACCAAAAACTCACCCAAACCAAAAACCCCAACCAAAACCCCAAGTCACTTTTATCCCATATTGCTGAGAAGAGTATGCCCTATCTTTTCAGGCATGGATTTGACCACTGAGGTCCAGGCATGGGCGCCCTCCAGGATTTTCTCTCTTCTTGGTGTTCATTACGTTCAGAAATGAAGTGCTATATTCTAGTTGGATTTTCATATGAGGCAGCACCTTGCCTGTTGCCGTATCTAGGTCCCTCATTTTGTTACTACCCCACCCCATTTTTTTTCCTTTTTGCTGAAACATGCTTCAGAAATGTAGTACGCTTTTTAAATTGTCTGTGTTTCTGGAACGTACATGGGTAACTTCTTTCTTTTCATTTTCTCTGTGCCTATGGGAGTTATGCATCTCCTAGAGCTCCCTTATTCTTTCAGTACCTTTAGGCGTCATAGTATCTTTAAAAAGATCTAATATTTGGCAGTGAGGTAATAGCTAGCTCTCTATTCCCTGAACAATAAATTACCAGTTTCAGATCCTTAAATATGTGATGTTGGTATTTGAATCTGTGGAACTCTCCAGGTCCGGGAGTAGTGTGCATGTGCACATACACATGTATGCTTAAGTATAATATTTTTATATTAGAATGCCTTTGTATCATTCAGTTTCTGTAATGAAGCATTTCATCCGTTTCCTTTTTAAAAAGAGGGGACAGTTCTTTCAAATTTGTTAATACACTGAAAGGAAACGGTATAGATTAATGCTGCTGCTGATTTAACCAGATATTTACAGCAAAAATGCCTACGGGTCTTTTGGGTTGCATTTTGCTGTTTTGTTTTGTTTTTTAATATGAATCCTAAGTGATGCGGTGGTTGTGTTGTTTTTTGGGGTTTTTTAAGCAAAAAAAAAAACTAAACCCAACCCATATGTAGGTTCTGTGGGAAGTGTGGTTAGAGATCTAGAAAACCATTTTCCCTAGTTCCCTGGTTTTGTCTCTTGTTAATCCTGTACAGTCAGTACAGAAGAAAAAAAAAAAGCCCTGTAAAATACAAAGTCACCAACCTAATGTCAGAGATTAATTTATGAAAACATCCATTTTAGCTGCCTCATGTTTGAGATATTAGACTGTGGCAGTCAAGATCATATTCTCCAGACTGCATTCTTCATAAGCAGAAATACTGGCAGCCATGTGTTAAGTTATAAAAAGATAGCAGCTGATGTCAGGGCTTATTTCAGTGAGGAGCCATTTCAGAATACTGTACTAATTTTGAGCAGGTATATGTAAAATAGAACCCTTCCCTTGACATATAGCACTCAGTGTAAATTGATACATATCTGAATGATGGGGTAGAAAAAGATGAACATGTAATAAGCTGCAGTAGATAGCTCACTTAAAATCTTCAGCATTGTACATGATTCTTCATGTAAAACTGAGAGGAACAGAAAACCAGTTCAGTTTGGCTTGCATTTTAGGGCTTAGATTTTTGAGCTGGTATAAAATCCTCCTGCTCTGATGTTGGTAAGCTACCACAATTTGAACCAGAGCCTGAGCTAATTTGAAACTATTAATAGAGGAGTGCCCAGCCTTTCTCTGCAAGTGCTCTATATATCGCAAGCAGCCTTCCAAATGCACTAACTCAGTGTGTGCAGAAACCTGTTCTCTGGTCGCACTGGATGTGGATCAACACCATGCTCAAATATATCTGTGTCTGGACAGATAATTAATATTAAACTTGGCTTCATTTGGTTGACTATATTTAACAAAATTACTTTCATCTAATGAAAGGGGATGAATTTTGCTCAATAATTCATTTTTAATTATGATTTTTTTAGTGGCCTCTAGGCTAGCTTTGTTCATTTCATGTATGTGCACATGTCTGTCTTAGGATTTCTTGAACTTAATTATGCTATTGAAATATCAGTTCTACAGTAAATCCATTCCTTCAGTTTTCATTAATTTCAGTTGAATCTAACAGCTTCAACCTGAAGTTCCTAGTACTATAACTTTTAAGAATTGCGTATTTACGCAGTATTTATTTACAGTGTGAAGTTCTCTTTTTACAGATTGGGACTAATGTTTAAGGACAGCAAAATTCTTTCTATTATAACTTTCGAAATTGTCTCAGATAGCTGAGCTATTATATGCTTCTGAAAAAACATGAAAGAAACCCTAATTCTATGCTTGAAATTATATATAGGTTTTAGTTGAGCATGTGAATTGGATACAAATAACTTTCGCTCTTTGCAGCTTTGTGACACCCTGTTGATAATTCAAGATAAAGATGTAAGTGATCTTAGACAAGTCACCACTCCATGTGCGTGTTTGATGCCAAGGGGGGTAGACAAGTTTTTTTTCTATCACAAAGAACCGTTTCTAATTGCTGCTGAGTTACAATTGATACTGCTACAATTGATAGTTTCACTGATAGTGGAAACAATCGCTTAAAGCGGTTTTTATGAAAGTGCTTCGGGGCAGAGACCCTGCTCCATCAAGAGTGTAAAAGCATAATGTCTCATAAATGTTCTGCTACTTTATTATGCAAGCTAACAATATTTTAACACACAAATAATGTTAGTGTTGTATTCTGAATAAATTTAAACTCAGTTCTTAAGTTGAAGCCTGAAGTGCTTTCTGTCCGCTACGCCCACAATGTGAAGATGTAAAGTCAAATGTGTGTTTGTCTTAAAATAGCTAATGGTATGATGATATTAGATGGATTCATACCTAAGATTTTTGTTTGTTTGTTTGTTTCAGGACATCAAGCGTGAAGCCAGTGATTTTCCATGTAAAGTGGCCAAACATCCCAGAAACAAAAATAGAAATAGGTACAGAGATGTCAGCCCCTGTAAGTACACTTTCTTTTCCATTGTTTGTAACAGACTGTTGACCTCTAATGACTTCTTCTAACAGCTAAATGTTCTTTGTAAGAACAAGATTTCTGTTAGATGGGTATGCATCCAAGATAATATTCTTGTTAATATATTTATTTATGAGATAGATGTCACAGGATGCCATTATATCCATAGGATTGTACTAAAGCAGCATACAGTAGATTCTGTATTTGTTGTCAGAAATCTGAAGAAAGGAACTTGCTTTACCTTTGAATTCTTAGGCTAGAGGAGAATGGTGGCTGAAGTAGCATTAATAAAATTGCAAGTATCATTTCTATTGCAGTATACTTACTAGGTTAATATAGCATAACTGCCCCTATTGGGAGATCGGGAAGTGTCTTGCATAAAATGTATGACTACTAGAAATAAATCTAAGGTAATTGGAACAGAGAAAAGGGGCGTTTGCAAAGGTGGTAATATTAGTGAGACCTGTGTTTCTGAAATGACTATCATTACATATTCTGGTGAATTCTGGTGGGAAGTGCCTCTTTGAGCACATGTCCTGTGTACAAGGCACAGCTCAGTTTGGTGTTGCAGCCTGTCTTTCCTTCCGCAATCCCATGTACAAAGGCAGTAACATTCAGACTTGCCTATGCCTGGCATGCTGTACTTCTGGAGTTGCAGAGAAGTACAGGACTGTAGTCAAATGGTTGGCAAATACTACTTGATGTATCAGACACTGAAGAAAGTCCACAGGTGGTTCGCTAGACTGCCTTCTCTGCACTAAATGACAATGCCTGTTCTGAGACCCCTTTCCCTTTTCAAGGGTGCAGTACTGCCGTCTGTTTTAAATGCAAAGTTTCTATAGGCTCTGTCACTGGGAGAATATCTATCTGCTGTTCAAAGACAAGAGTATTAATTGTATATTGGAAAACTTTTATACTGAGTGGTTAAAAGTTACTGAAGTCTTTGGGGCAATTGACTTAGGAACAATAATGTTGCACATAGTTTGCTTTACTAAGCAGTTCTAGTATTTGGGGTTGTGAGTAACAAATGGTTCCTTTTTGCCTTTAGATAATACTGCTTCCAGTCTTGTTTCGTTTTTTTCAAAATGTGGGAACTCTTGTATGTGGTTTTTTGTTGGTGATTTGCTTTTTTTAATCCTAAGTGGAGCAAGCTGAGACTAACAAAAGAGCAGTGCAATTACATTTGCTGTAATTCTTGAATTTTGATCATTCTTTCTGTATATTAAGGTGTGGTTGGTTTGGGAACAGTAGCTAAATGTCTATAAAAAGAATAAGAAGTCTCTGTTCTGTTTGTCCAATACATGTTTAGGCAAACCTTTTAACAACCTTGAACAAGCTGGGTTTGAATGTTTAAGCTGCAAAAGATAAGCAGTTGTGTAATTAGATTTATTTAAAAACAGTAACTCGATAACTGTACAAATAGGTCAGTGTGATCTCGTTTGCAAATTACTGTTGGATTACTTCAGATGCAAATACTTCCATTCTTGCAATATATTCTTGGAAGACAGAGTGCAGCTTATGTTCATGGCTCTGCCGTAGTGCTGTTCTTTTAGTACCTATATTGTATTTCCAGAGTTACAAGCACCAGCAAACATTTCTGCGCTGTGATTAAGCTCTTTTCGTTCTTCAGGACGACTCAGTTTTTTGATCCTAACATCTGATGAGGTTGTGTGTGGTTTGTGCTGTGTTGCATATACATTAACCAGTGTTTTCTAATTATGCTGCAGTTGATCACAGTCGAATTAAGCTAAACCAAGGTGACAATGACTATATCAATGCTAGTTTGATAAAAATGGAAGAGGCCCAAAGGAGCTACATCCTTACCCAGGTAATTGCTGGCAGTGGATAATAAAAATCATGTGGTGATTGGAGTTGTTTTTCATGGGTTTTCTTTAGCCTTATTACTTTTGTTTTCTTCATCATAAAGCCACTTAAGTGTATATAAACATCTGTGTGTATATATAAACATATACATAGAACAATTTTACAGAAATGCTACATATTTCTTCCTGCTTCCTGTCAGCACTGACTGACTTTTTGTAGAGTATTTTGGCCACTTTGTATATTTGACTTTAGACCCATCTAGGCTAGAAGCTTAACATACTTCTAGAAATCTGCTTGTTGGCTTAAAACAAGCAACATTTAGATGTGTTTGAAATGAAATGCATTTCTACGTGGAAGCACAAAGGCTTCAGACCACTAGTCTTAAGTTGCCTGATAAATTCTCTGAACAGAGGTGAACCTCACTTAATGGGAGGGCCTCACATTTACAGAACTATATTTATGAACTTCAAGATGTTCAAAACCTATTTGAAATAACATATTTTAAATATAACGGAAATTTATGTGTTACGTGGAGTGGGGTGGACGTTAACTAAAACATATTAGCCAATTTCTTACGCCCGACCTTCTGTTTCAAATAAGCATTATGCTCCACCATGTTTTTCTTGTTAAATGTCCTTCTGAAAGTGATGCTATTGTAGTATTTACAACGAATGTACCTCCTAATAACACAGCTTGTGCAAGGTCTAAGTTGGGCAGTGCTGATGCTTCTACCTTTAATGTGAGAGAGGAAAGCTATGAATACAGACTTTAGTGATGGGAGTATGAGGGGTAGGAGGGAAGTGGCTTTTTTTCACAGAATCTGTGAATTCCACACCTCTGTATAACAAATTTAAAAATACCCGGATACCCTGTTGTCTTATTCTGAGACCTAGCAACTGTGCCAGAATTCTTGTTTGTTCTAAATGTTTGGTTCCCTGGAGACTGTCCTGGTCTCTAATCTTGACCTTTTTTTTGCCCCTTCCTCCCACACTTTAGATAAAGGTAGACTGGGATTAATATTTTCAAGCAGCAGCTCTTCCTTCCTGTTTCTAGAGAATAAAGATAAATCTTCTGAGGAAGAAGTGGACAGTACAGTATTTAATACAAAAATGATTCTGTGCACACAGCTCTGATTCCACTTATTCACAACAGGGGAGGTTGATCATAGGGTTGAACTGATAGACCTGTATGTGGAATAGTCAAATGTGCAGCTAACTGATACTAGTTATCTATTCTGATCCAGAATTTAATGGATTCGAATGGCTTTATTTAAATCCAGTCATTCTTTGGAGGACCTCAGCCTGCTGTTTTGTTTGAGCAAAGTGATGGATAGCAAATATGAGAGACACAGTGATGCTGGTTTGTGTTGCCCAAAATTCAGAGCAATGGTTTTGGAGTAGAAAATGGCAAAAGAACATAGCACAAACAAAAAGTTATAAGGAAATCTACTTTGTGAGTAGATAGTAGTCTTTAAAAGGGGTTATCTTTTGTTCAGTCCCAGAGCAGATCCATGAAGATTCTGAAAACTGTATAATTTGTTAGTGATTTGTCATTGTTTCAGTCTTTTGAATGTTTGTCCATTCAGTCTAGTAATTTTCAAGTATTATGAATACCAATGATGAATTGCAGAATAGTTCAACATAGACGTTAATTCTGCTTTTAGTTGTCAATGAGGTTTTATTTCCCCATTTTATGTATACCTTTCCTAAGAAAGTTCTCAGCATTTTTCACTCCCAGTTCTCTTCTTACAAATGAGACTGCTTCTCTCTTCCTGTTATGCCTGTGGGGAAAAGATTAACCGTGCTTTAATGGGTGAATTCATAGTGGGGAAAATGGAACTTAAAGCTGTATCACTGCATTTTTTTGCAGTTTGAAATGAGAAGTTGCTTGTTACTTGTCTAAATTTCTTGCCTAGTGCAGTAACTTTTACTGGGGAACATTGCACTGACATTAACAGAAAATAATGCTTATTTCTGGGGATTCTGTCTCTGCAGGGACCTTTGCCAAATACTTGTGGTCACTTTTGGGAGATGGTTTGGGAACAGAAAAGCCGTGGTGTTGTCATGTTGAACAGAGTGATGGAAAAGGGATCTGTAAGTACTTACCCGGTTCTAACTGTGTGTTCATTGCATGTTTATGTTTTTTCTTTAAAAAAACAAAACCCCCCAACCCTTCCCACCCCCCCACACCCCAAAAAGAAACAACCCAAAGAAAGTGTGTGTGTGTGTGCGGGGGGGGGGGGGGGTGGAGAGACGATGGTCGTCATCAATTTTGTCTAGAAATTATGCCTAGAATTGAATACCTGGTGATCCGATCTTAGTGCAGTCAGAAAATTATTCAGTTTGTAATTGTAGGTATTAATTTCTTTTGAATTTGGCTGAAATAAGGCATGAACATAATATTAGTCTCCACACAAATGAGTATTTGGTCACTACTGCTAACCTAGGTATCTGAATGTAGTTCTTTTCAGTGTACAGATTGCACCTCTCAAAGGTCATTTATACCAAGTGTTCATTCACAAGAATTATGAAATAGTTTTGAAGTAGTTATAGAGGCACTTGGACTCCAAGTTTCCTTCATGCAATAAGAGCTGATTATTAAATGTATCATCTAAGCATATTGTTTCTCCACCAGTGTCATTGTTTACAAAAGACATTAGAAGTGTGAGGAGAATGAGGGTACAATTGAAAAGTACTTCTCCTGGTATGTATCTTAAGCAATGATCTTCTAGGTGATGTGGAACCAGCTGTTAAGCCAGTGCTTTACTTGCTAGGGCAAGCGTGGTGGGCTAAATTCTGTCCAGACCTTTTAGGAAGCCTACATTAGACAAGACAGGCAGAAGATGAAGAGAAATGCCAGATGAACAAACAATTGGGGTTATTTTAAGTAATTTACCTTCAGACAGATAAAAAGTTTTGGTTCTTCTGGCACATGAAGTAGCTGCTGTCTTGAGAAGGTAATGCCTCAGCCTTTCTGATGGTGGAGAAGACAGGAACCATCAGGCATGGTTTTCGTCCATGGGTCAGAGTTCTGCCTCTATGCTAACTCCACAGCTACCATCCTTAAAGTGGACTTGGCAGCTGTGCAAATTTGAGACAAAAGCAATTTTAAAGATGGATAGAAATGCACAACTGAAAGTTGAATGTTACAGTGTAGTATAAAGGCACTTTGGAGGAGGGGTAGCGGGTATGTTGGGTATCCACCAGTGATAACTGGGTGGTACATGCTTTTGCATAATGAGGAAAGAATTCCCAATAATAAGGAAAATTCTTGTGCAATGAGTTGTGTTTTAATAAAATGCAGTCTTGATTTTTGAGTGTTTCGCTTTTTTTGTAGTGCAAGTGAAATTTAATCTTCAAAAGAGATGCAGTAACCATATTTTTCAATAGTTTCTTCCTTTCCAACCGTTCCCGCTCATTCTCTGCACTGCCAATAGTTTTGAACAAAATGAATTATTGTGATCCCTTAGGGCAGGCTGCTTACACTTCTGAGCAAACAGCAGTGGGGGACCTACAGTGAAGCACAACGAAATACTGTTTACAGACACATTTGGTGGAGAAATTAGACACAAAGCCAGTTGCTGTTTCTTCAACATTAATTAAAAAAACTAAAAGTGTCGAGAATTATAACTGCATTCTACACCCCAATGAACTAGAGGATGTGTTTTGAATAAAAACTAGAATCAGCCCAAGCAAAACTAGTGTTAGTCTACCTATGAATAAAATACTGAAGGGTTTTCATATTTATTAAAATGTTTTCAGAGTCTTGAGAATGCTGGGCTTTTTCATTGTTCTTCCACTTCAACTGTAAAGCCATATTATTTGCCTTCAATAAAAGAGGCGTTAGCTGCGTCCAACAATCCATTCTTATTGTATGTTTAAGTATGGCCAAATGGTGGTCATAATCCCATTTCAGAGGAGCAGTGCTTAGTGGCAGAAGTACCAGGCCACTTCTCCCAGTCACAATATCCTTAGATTTAACTACCTGAAGCTTGGTTGCAGACTTTGGGATTTGTGTTGCCAATGAGTTTCTTTAGTTTCAGTTTTTTCCTGCACCCTGCAAAATGTGCTACTTTTCTATTTAGTTGACTTATTTAAGGTCCTAGCATGTAGCAGTCTTTGCAAAACTAAGCTCTCCGGGAAACTTTACTGAGAAAAAAATTGAAGTTCAGTTAGAAGTAGGTAATGGGAATGTTTGCTGAATGGAGGGGTTTTTGTTTGGCACTTTACTTTCAAACTGCACCATGTAAAATCAAAATTATCTCACTGCTATTTTTATTTTTGTGGTGAGTGAATGGAGTAACACAAAAATCTCATCTGATGTTACACTTGCAAATTAGCAATGTTGTAATTCTCTATATGTTGCTTATTTGTGGAATTCATAATACTTTTTCACAGTATGTTCTGCTCTTGTTAACATCTATCTCTTTTGAAATTTAAATATTTGACATGAGGATAATAAATAAAATGCAGAGTAAGCTAAAATTCGGATTTTGGCAGAGGGTTGTGAGAGCTTCTATACTTAGACAGTTATTAGATTTTTTTTCTGTTTGTTTGTTTGCTCTGACACAAGCTAAAATAAATAACGGCTTTGGTGATTTTGATTAGAT